CTGCTGTGGGCAACTCCACCTCCGCTGCTGTTGGCAGCATCCTGAGCTGTGAGGGAGTGCCCATCAACTCTGGGGGCTTTGACCTCTCTGGCATTGGCAGCGGCTAATATTGCAGAAAGGTTGACAATGGCCTTGAAGATAGGACTCCCAGGAACTGAGAACAGAGGATCAAACTTCATGCCATTTTTTTAAGAGCTGCTGACCATCTCTGGCTTGTCCTGCAAGGGCAGACTGGAAGGGACCAGCATGGGATCTCTGAAAACATGGCCAATGTCGACCTTTCTTGTCTTCCACTCACTCTTCTTTTCTTTTTTGTCTTGTGCTCCCCTCAAAGCCTACTGTGAGGACCACTGAGATCAGCGTGGAAGGGCCTGCTAGCCTGTCTCCCTTTGCAGGGCATCTCCTTTGATGGCCTGTGGGAACTCTTCCACAGGAAAAGGGCAACAAATTCTGAGCTGATCTGGCTGCTCCCCACACTGGAGACCTCCCCTTGGATTGACCTAATTTCTCTCTTTAGACTCATTAAAACATTTTTGCAAGCCTGCCTGTGTCCCTTAAGTGGTCTTTCCATTTGCACTGTGAGAGCTGAGGTAGAAAGCCATTTCTTTGGAGGGGAAAGAGAAGGGGGCACAGACTGGGGACACATCACAGAACTATAGAATCATAGAATGTTAGAGGTTGGAAGGGACTTCAAAAGATCATTTAGTCCAAGCCCCCTGCCAGAGCAGGATCACCTAGGGCATCCTTGCTAAAGGCATTGGAAGGTGGGAAATACTGCAGCGAGTCCTCTTTCAGGCACTGCCCCTGGAATTTCAGGAAGATATGCCTAGTCACTCCACAGCCAGTGGCCATCAGTCCTTGTTTTGCTGCCACTGTGACCAGAAATATGCTCTTGGCCTTGAAGCACATCATTTTCACAGGAATCTTGACAACTGCTGCACTCAAAAGTAGAAATGTGGGCATGTGGGAGGCTCTGGGGAGATCAGCACTCCCACCAGTTCTTGGCAAAGAGTGCTCCTCTTCCTCAGAGTGGAGCTGTGCTGGGCAAGGAGGCTCAGAATAAGATTTGCCAAAGGATGGCAGGAACTTAGAATGGGTTGGGGATGGCCCAAATTCCATACTCTGTTTCCACTCGATCACCTGATGTAGGGACCATGGTCAACATGACTGGGCATGTGCATCAGGGCAGCTTCCCCATGCAGCCCTTGCACCCTTCAGCACAGCATCTAGCATGGCCCATGGCTGACAGTATGTGTAAGGCTCAGGGGTTCAAAATTTAGTACTGGTATCAGCTACATCAGGCCCCTCACTGGAGACTCCTGTCCCTGAGAACCCACCACTCCCTTGGCTGAAGGCAGCCCCACAATGCTGTGCCCAAAACCACAACATTAGACTGTGCTACCTTGTCTTCCTCAAGCAGAACTTTCAAGAAACCCGGGAGTTCCACAGCCCCAGAATTTCCGCAACTCAACACTGATCTGCAAATGTTCCATGTGAAGGCTGATATCCCTATCTCTGTAAAGTTGTGAGGCTGAAGTGGCCCTTGTGCAGCATCACTGCTCCCCACACACAGGCCAGGCCCTTCCCACAGCTGCAGAATCTGAGGCCATGTGGTGTGGGGGATTTGCATCCACACAGACCCCAACCACAGCCAGTGCCATGGGACCAGGATAGAGGACAGTGTCATTTCCCTATTTTGGGTGAGGACAGGGCCATGCCTTCCTAGGGCAGGTTATGTGGGAGACAGAGCTGGGTCAAGTGGTAGCACAGGAGTGAGAAGCATCACGACTCAGCACACCTAGGCCCAATGCAAACACAGGTCCCAGATCTCTCTTGGTCTCTGGCCCAGGGACTCTATGAGAGCTCAGGCTTAGCACAGGCCTCCCCCTTCTGTGCCATAACTGTGCCTGGCTTGGGCTGCTGTCATCCTTCTAGGTGGTCCAGGGAAGTGACTGGATAGAACCTTCACCTGAGCCTTTCTTCAGTCCAGCCTTGGCCTGTCCCCCAGCCCCAGATCTATCCCTGCAGCTAAGACCTCCTATGCATCTGTTCACAGAATTTCTTGCCTAGATTATGGCAATAATCAACAGATGCTTTAGGGACAGAATTGTCTGCCATCTAAGACGGAAGTCAGAGATGGACCAGCTGTGTCATACTTTGAGGTACTCATCTCTTGATCATGACAAAATCCTTCTAGACAACAAATTAAATTGCTCATGCCATATTTGTTATTTGCTGCCTGCAATGTATGTCACTTAAGGAGAACAAGACAATAATTGAGTGTTTTGGATCTCCAAGAAGGAGAGCCTGCCGAGGAAGAAATACATCAGAATCCTCAGGGACTGGTCACTCTCCACACCAAAAATGACGAGGCCGTTCCCTCTATCGGAGTTACAAGACACATAGACATCAGGGTAAACAGGACCGTGTGCCACCTGGGATGGTCTGAAAAACCCAGGAGAATGCATTTATTCTTAGATATCCCGTTCTTCTTTGCTATTGGCTCCAAGATGATACATGGAGATCCTGTCAGAGTGAGGTTTCACATTGCAAGAAGAGCAGCAGTAGCTTTTCCAGAAAAAGTTTTCCCTGGTCTTGGTGGCTCTTCTCATGGCCTCAGATTATCATTGCCAGTCTCATTCTACCTCCATCTCCTCTTTTGCTCTTCTTACATACAGAGAGGCAGACAAATATTTGTCTATCCTTCTCCAGACATTCATCTGTCTACTGAATGACCCTTCCTTGAAGGGAGCCAGCAATTACAGTCTACTGCATCTCTGCAATTGGAAAGATGAGAGAAGGCTGTGTGAGGGCTGTTGATGTGTTGCCTCCAGGGAGATGGGTTATCAGGAGATCTCTAAAAAATCAGTATCCCTCTGGAACAATGACCATCACTGAGAGTCAAAAGAATATGTGAGAGGTTCCCTGCCCGTACCTTCCAAGAGGTAATCAACCCCCTTCCCAGCAGCCTCAGCAGATCTTTACCCTTAAAGTCACTTCCCTCTTCTGGTCGTCTGCTCTATTATGATTGGCTGAGAGGACTGGTTACACCTTCACGCTTACCTGGAAATACACCTGGCCTATAAGACTCTTCCTCCACACTGGGGAAGCCATTCTTTTGGGATGTCATGATTTATGCCACTAACCAGGTGACAGACACTGCCTTGGCCAGAGGCAGGTCTAACTTTTACATGGGCTGGGGGAGGCTATGGAAGTTTTACAGTGAGTCACCCCCTAAGCCCTCCCCCTGCTACCAAAATACCCTGCCAGACACAAATCCATGACAGGGACGACAGTTTTAGAAGCAGATGTTGCCATTTTATAGCAGGCATCTCCCATTTTTTTACATCACACTGCCCTGTGATTTACTGATGGCCATTTCTTGACACTCTTGTAACTAGGTGTTCTCATGCAGCCCTGTGTCTGGCTAGCTGGTCTAGGACTTCTCCAGTCTTACATGGACGTGTGTCAGAAAAGAAATTCCCTTGCCATTACTTACAGGGACACTGCCACTTCTGACTTGGCATTTCACATATGTTTCATACTGCACTGTGACTGGCTGACAGCTACTTCTTGACATCATCAAACATGTTCGAGGCAGCCTTGCCAGTGGCTTCACATCTTTGGGCAAGGAAGTGTTCAGTTAGAAGCACTTCTGGTTTCTGGAGAACGTCCCTCATTATTCAGCACCCAAAGGATGGTCTGTATCAGCCCTCTTGCTTTCCCCAAGTAACAGCAGCACAAGTAGCTACTCCAGCTCATTTACAGCTACCAAATATATTTTTTCCACATAGTCCACCCCTGCTTTACCAAAAGCCCTAGAATGAACAGAAAAGCAGAACTCAAGTCCTCCACAAAGTTGATAAAATAATATTTCCAGAGGACTTCCTGATACAGCACTCGTCAGTAAGTGTAACAACACAGAACATTCTCAGGTGTAACAGACTGCAAAGGGTCAGCATTCGGGGGAAATATCTTTTTGCAACCCTCAACACTCAAATCTTGGGGCAGACTGCTTAGTTTCATGGGTAAAAGAGAAGTGTCCGTTAAACCCAACAGTGCAGCCCATCTGCACCCTATTAGTGGTCACTGAAGTAAGTTGGGAGGAAAAAAAAGAGAAAGACAATTCATGTTCTCACACAAGGACACGTTTGGGTGACCAGCGAAGGGTTGCAGGGCTGGGAGCAGCTGGGCCCTTCCTGTCAATGCAGTTAGAGGCAACCCCACCAGTGTGCCCCAGGCCAACATCGCTTGCCGGCACTGCCCCCATCCGGCACTCAAGCTGTGCCTTCTGCAGGGACTGACACTGTCCCGGCCCAGAAATCCTGAAGCCTCTCCATGCCAGCCCTCAGAAGAAGCCTCCATGAGGAAATGTGTGTGGCATAAGGCAGGAAATGCAAAGCTGTCATTGAAGGAAACAACCACCCAGCCCATGTCATTAACCGGGATGTTTCCTGTTCATCATGAGTAGCTGAGAAAATTGTCATTTCCGTAGAAGCTACCTCTGGGCCTGGGGCAGCTCCAGGCCACCATAAAAGGCACCCCAAGTCCTCTCTGTGTCACGCACTTCTCTTGCCTCCTTCTCCTTGGGAACCAGGTGAGTCTGAAGCCCTTTCCCCATGTTGTTTTCTGTTCATGAAGATGTGTACTTCTCCATCCTGTACTGGGTCTCAGCACTGCTTGTCATGGGAGGGGGAGGAAGGGATAAGGACTGACTCAAAGAGTATCTGGGACTTGCCTGAGGAGCCTCTACTTTGAGAAGCTGGGCAGCAGCCTTGTTGGGCCTGGCGACGCTTTGCAGTACTGTGTCAGAATATGGCCAAGCAACCCTTTGGCTTTACTGTCTAGTTTCTATCTCCTGGCTCAGCAGATGCAGGGGGACAAATTCAGCATCACAGTTTTTCACTCATGGCAACGTGACAGATGGGTTACTCTGCACATGTCGCTGTGCTCTGATTCTTCTCTGCTCTCTCTCCCAGGTGCACCTCCAGCTCTTAGACATGTCCTGCTGCACCCCGTGCGTACCCTGCTGCCAGCCCTGTGGCCCAACCCCGCTGGCCAACAGCTGCAATGAGCCCTGTGTGCGGCAGTGCCAGAGCTCCACCGTTGCCATCCAGCCCTCTGCCGTGGTGGTGACCCTGCCTGGCCCCATCCTCAGCTCCTTCCCACAGAACACCGTTGTGGGCTCCTCCACCTCCGCTGCTGTTGGCAG